CAATTGGATAGAGATCAAGATTCAAAGACATATTCTCTTTTGTTTGAAAGTTCAGGACATAGAATAATGGGTCTAATCTACCAATTGTATGTCAGAAAACAACTTTCTAATAGTAAGAACAATTCAACAATGGAAACAATTATACAAAATAGTGGATTTGATGTAGTTAAGTATGGGTGCTAGACAGCAATCTGTCTAGGATGCTTTAATTTGGATCCTTGCACTGAACAGAAGATAAGACTCAATAGTCTAAATCAGAGGTCTCAATATCTGGCAACTTTAAGACTTGTGGATTTCAACTCCTAGGAAATATGGTATCAGGGATAGAACCTGCAAATGAATTTCAGTGGGCAAACAATGGCACATATAATTTGGTCTGCTGAATATTTTCTCTATCTGCACATCTATTCGTTTGATCTATATTAATGGACTATATATTTTTCATTTAATTTCATTTGTGGTTCTTATGAATATGACTGTACAGTACTGGAAAGAGAATAAGTAGACCATCATTATTCCTTATTCAGTTAGCCCTTTTCTTATTAGGAAAATGGTTAATGAAGATCCTCTAATTATCTTTTAGCACAGCTCTTGTGGAATAAGGATTTAGGGCAGGCATCCTTCCCAACTGTTTTCCTGATAGCCCATGCTTTCTTATTCATTTCCAAAAGAGTGAGAGTCCAGTTTTTCACTCCAAATGGGCAAAAAAAAGGGGTGGATTTATTTTTAAGAACATGTTTCATTTTGACTCAGTGTCTATGTTAGCCTTTCTAAAAATTTCAGCTGCTGACAACAAGATGTATGACGTGAATCTTTCTTCCAACTCAGCTTGTTTAGGAGGGTTATATTAGTCTTCTGGCTGAGGCTGAGGCATGCTTAATGTATACATTAATGCTCCTTGCATGAACTGATATCACATATCATGAATAATGAAAGTTAGAGAGAAACTGCAGCAAGCCAGTGGAAAATAAGCAAACTAAGCAAGTAGGCAAATGTTTCTGATCAGTCCCTTTCTCAACAACAAAAGATAGCACTAAGAACTGATTTCCCAAAATAAATTGCTTTTGTGTAGACAGTAGACAGAATTGTCTATGAAAGCAGACTTTAGGACGATGGATATCTTCTCCACAAAGTGAGATGAAAAGTAACATCAAAGGGTAAGTATTAAAGAGCAGAGTTCAAGAGAACACAAAACATGGCTTTGAGCAACTAAATGAAACTGTGATGTTGACTGAATTGAACCTTTTGCTACCCATGGATAATTTAGTGCTAAATAAGATATTTTTTATTAAGGGCTTCACTGGAAAACTTTCAAGGCTTGTTCTGATAAATAGTCAGCAGGCAGAGAAGGGATAAAGGTTGCTGTGAATAAGTTCCCTCTGTCCTTTACCCAAAAGTTTTATTTCTTAAAACTTCCAAACGTTATTCTCCCACAACATGAAACACAAAGGACACAACTTATGTTTATGACCATGTCACAAATATTACCTCAAAACACTTGGCTTTGCCCTGATATGTTCTTAAAAAATTCTGCATAATTTTGAAAATGTTGTATAATTAATAAAATTAAAATACATCTCTAACAAGCTAAAATAATCCAATTTTTTGTTTGCAAATCTTATGTGCAAAGGCTTTCCTTACAAGGATAAAGGTATACAACTTTCATTATCAAAAATGTGATTATGTGCCCAGTGTTGACACTTTCTGACCCCATAAATACATTTTCTCCATGATACAGCAAACTAAACATTAAATAACAGTAAAATCATACTGCTAAGGTAACTTTTTATTTATCTAATTATTTTTCTATGGCTGCGCACATTAACCAAATGACACTTTTTAACTTACATCAGCGAACACTAGCTTTTATTTTTAATAAATTTAGTCACGCAGATGTTTTTGTAGACTTTACTGCAATTTGCCAATATTTCAGTCTAAATAATTTAACTGTTTTTCATTGTAATTATGAAATAATTTTACTCTTGTATATGCAAATTTATATGCTCAAACTGAATAAAAATTCAACTATAATCAATAAGTTGCTAGAAAGAAAGAAAGAAAGAAAGAAAGAAAGAAAGAAAGAAAGAAAGAAAGAAAGAAAGAAAGAAAGAAAGAAAGAAAGAAAGAAAGAAAGAAAGAAAGGACAAAAACTATTTTTAAAAAGAATAGCATGAAAGATATTCATGTCTTTCTAACAGGTGTCCAGCTTTAAAAGAAGATAGGCTGTAACATTTTTGCTCTTTTTTGATAAAGAAATAAACTGCCATCTAGTGGTTCAGATGCAATTTTTCAAATTTTAGGTATATACAAAATAGTAAGTTAATTTTACTTATTCAATAAACCATGATCAACTGAACCATGATTTAGTGGTCATTATGGCCAAAATATAATATCAGAAAAGTGCTACATCTGTTACATGACATTAAGGCTCATGAAAAACAGATTTTCCAGCTAACAATATTGTCAAAGACTACAGTTTTTTGACCATGTATTCCAGAAAAGTTTATCACAACTTTCTAAAAATGTTATTCCTCTGTAGCTGACAAGAATTGGCAATTTGTGCAGTTGCAGCCAGTCAACACTAGCACATACACAATTATAGCATTTGTTCTGTCAGTTGCAAGCTAAAGGCTTTAAGTGAATACACATATTTTTAGTAAGCTCAACAAATCAATTAAGGTCTTTGTTGTTTGCTGGTAGACGTTTCATTACCTGATTAGGTAATATCATCAGTGTTAATGAGTCGGGGCTTTGCTCCTTGTTTATATACAGTAGCAGGGCCCTGATAATATTGATGGGGTTGTGGCTTTCCTTTGGTAATTCCTTGACTGGGATATTGTTTTTTGCAGATAACCAAAACCCCACAGTCCAACCCTGAGTTACACATATTATCTCCATTAAAAGTTAAAAAAAAAAAAATTTGGTATGATAGATGAAAGCCAGGAAATACAATAAAAATAGTTTGGTATAGCATAGAAGAGAAACCAATTATTTCCTATTTGTTTCAGAATCATGAAATAATATATGTTAGGGGTGATCAGCAAGCAACAGATAGTCCTCACTTAACAGCCATTTCCTTAATAACTGTTCAAAGTTATGAGAGTCTTGGAAAGGGTACTTTATGGCCTGAAAAGCACTTCCAACTGTCATGAAATGTCATCCTGCATCCCCCACAGTCGCATGATCACATTTCGGGTGCTTGGCAACCAACTTGCCCTTATGACTACTTGCAGCTCACATGACCATGATTTATGATGTTTTTGTCATTTCCAGCATGGAAAACTGGAAAACTGTGGCCATCGTAAAAACGCTTATAAAATCAAACAGAGTCATGTAGTGATCCATTTAATAACCATCCTGACCAGAATTCCAGTCCCACTTATGTGGTCATAAATCGAGAACTACCTGTATGAGCTTAAGCAGCATTCAACTTATATGCAATTTTGCCAAGACAATGGGAAATATACATGAGAAAACAACTAAGATTTCTAAGCATGGTAGCCTGACTATTTACTGGTGAGATGTTCTACAAAACAGTGCTCTTTTTCCCTTTCCTTTAATAACATTAGTTACTGCAGTTCTTGAATAAATGAACCCTTGTGGTAAATATTATACTGAGGGATTTTGGTATATCTACTTACAGATCTATTTTTGTTTCTTCCACTGTTATCAAGTTAATTGCACAACATAAGTTAGAATATTAAACCATAAGCATGCATCAATATTAACAACACAATTATTAGGCTTTTGAATTTGCTTTGAACATTTTTAAAATGCAAATAATATTCATAAATAAATGTGAAGAGTTGAGCTTATCTTCAGAGGACTATTAGTTTTCTTTCCCAGTCTAGCTTTCAGCCCTGGTGTCTCTTGGAAGTGTCCCATCCAATATTAATTAATTTAGTTATTTTTTCATACATTCATACCACTGAAATAGCTGCCCAATTCATGAGGTGACTTTAGATGAAATACAAAAGATAAAGTAAAAAAAAATTAACATAAATAGACACCATAATACACTATATCCTTGGGGTAAAAAAAAATTCTAATACAATTATTGAAGCAATGACTAAACAACTAGCCAGTGGAGCTCATCTGGCCAAAAATGCTTGTGCATTTAATGCATTGCAAAAAGCAAACGGGGTTGGGGCTAACAGATCTCTGGGGAAATAGGGCACACACTGTAATAACCACTTCTGATCTTATTTAGTTTTTTCCAAACTATTATCCTGTTGCCTATAGGAAGAAATCAATAATTTCCTTATTCTATCTTTTAAGATACATCCTATATTTGAATGTGTATCTTTTATTGTGACCAAATCTCCCCTTGGTTTCTCAGAAGTACATCTTCCAACTACCAGACAGTAAGCCTTGTTGAACTTAATGAGAATAAAAAGAAAAGATGCTGCTGTTAGTCTTGTTTTTTTATCAAAGCAGATCAGAAATGTCCTTCAATCAAAATATGGTATATAAGTACAATCAAATCCAAACACTAAATAAAAGGAACAGATTCAATTCAATATTCAACCTTGTAAATTTAGTGTTAACCTGAATTTTGAAAATAAAAATATACTCCTCTGCAGTGTTATAAAAATGGTTTGTACAGTTGTTTATATAAATGTTTGGTTTCAGCAATGAATCAGCATCACAAAATTTATTTTGAGTGCCAGAAGAATGGGAAAGAGCAGCCAGAAACAAATCATTTCTGGAAACATGTAAACACACTTTCATTGTGTTGTTATATGCACAGCTGCTCATTTGACATTTCTGTACACAATTGTCAGATCAAAAATGTAGTTTCTCGACAAGTTGGGATCACAAAACATAATGTAAATGAAGTAGTACAACACTGAAAAATTGCCTCAGACCTTAATTGATACCTTGAAAACTACATTATATTCATACAGTCACAATTTGAAAATCAAACTTGAAGCAAATATATTAAAGAAGAATATAATAACTAAACACTATGGAAAAATGAATATGAATAATGCAAATACCTCCTGGTTATCCTTATTATGGGTTCCCCAGAAAATCTTGTTATAAAGGCTTTCCATTGAGTTGCTAGAATCTGAACGATCAAAACAGTGTCTATCCAAAACCTCCAAAGTATGCAAAACACGGCTGATAGTAACCCCTGGATAAAGAAAAAACAGAAAAGAAAAAAATGATGGTACATTCAAGTTGTGACATCAAAATTATTACAATTTGTTGGAAGAAAACTGGTATTGATTGGGAGCTGCCTATGTGTTGTTTTATGGATCTCCATTTCCCATACTGTCTTCCTTCATAAGTGTCTTCCTTATCACTAACTTCTCTCCCACAAGCCCTTTGTCTACCCTAAGAGTTCTCTATCTCCTAATTAACTGCTACAGTGATAGCTATAAAACTCGTAGTGTTTATTAGACACAAGTAAATCTATAAGGTAAGCTTCTCTGGTGTCCACCAGGTCTCTTGGGCTACAGATCTTATAACTCCCAACCAGCATGGCCAAATAATGGGATTTGGAGTCTGAGATCCCTGAAAGGTACCATATTGGGAAAGTTGCTATACTACAGAAAGTTTAAAGATGCTAAGACCATTAACTGAGTAGATTCTTGCACAAACATTGAGAAAACTTTAAATGGCATTAATGACATAAATATTTGAGTGTGAGTGTCTATTCAGTTTAAGTGATAAAAACTTATCAGTTGATTGCAGAAAACACATTTTCTCTGGATGAGCTTAAATGGAAAAGTTTTGTAGACTTAAAACATGAAAGAATATTTCTGCTATTTTCAGTTATATGTGAAAGTACCATGAGGCTTGACTGTGAAATGTGGAACAAAAATCTCTTGGGAAAATACATAAAACTACTGGAACAATAGAACAAAATGTATCCTTTAAATAGTTGGCCTGCTTACCAAAGGAAACTATAACTTTTCAAAGGAAGAAAAAGAAAGATAAACTGATATGTTCCCAGACTTCTCTCCTCTTTTTTTTAGGAACAGGCTGTGATTTTTGGGATCTCACATCTTACATCAAAACAATCTTTCCAAAAATAACCTGGTCATAGTGTTCCAAAACGATTCCCAAAATATGTCAATAAGCAGAATTAAAATATAGAGGCAAGGCCAGAAGTTCATAATTTTTTTTCTTTTTGGAAAATAGACTTTTTTTCCACTGATTTTTCAACATACACATAAGCAAAAATTACCACCTTTAAGTATCACTTTTAAAGCAAGCCTCCCTCAAAAAGAAGGGGAAAAAGATGATTCTGAGTGAAGCTCAACTCCTAGTGAGTAAATTTGAATGTGTGTGTGTGTGCGCACGCACATGTGCACATGCAGTTTTGGAAATACTACAGAAGTATTTCCACCGCCTTGTTCTGAGATGTTTTCTTTCAAGTTCCAAGTCTATCCCAAAGCTCTGGAGTTTCTTGTGATCTCCAACACTTTCAAATCAGAGCCATCTTATCTTCCAAACTCAGACAAAGTTGGTGAGGAGCAACAACCTCTGGAGAAGCACCATACAAATTAGCATTGTTATTTTCCTCTTAACAAAGTGTTGCCAAGTAGTGAGAAAAAATTATTTGAATGATGATGAATTATCATAATGATGTTTTTTGCACAAATAAATAACTCAGTCTAATAAACTAAGTATTGATACTAATTATTCAGGGCTAGAATTGTTGCATTCAGCATCTAGATCATTATAGTGTGATATTCAAATTCATGGATCCACACATACACTACACCACACACTGTGTGAAACTTCCCAAGTGTGTAGAATTTGGGAAGAACTTCATGCGTATGAAGGCCAACATGAGCTAAAGAACTGGCAGCTGTGATTTCACATTGTTGTGTATATAATAATAGTAATAACAACTGCATATATTTTTACTATTGCAATCACTGCTTCTTTATTTATTTATTAGAAAAATTATTTGCCACCCATCTCATATCCAGTGACTCATCATCTTTAGATGGGGTTGTTTTTGAGAAACTTTAAAAACTGGCATAAAAGTAGCAACAAATATTTTTGAACATACTCCTTCCATATCAGTGCATCTTCTACACTCAAGTGGACAACATCAATATACCGTATTTAGAATAAGGCTTTAATCCAAGACTGAAAAGCAATAAATGGTAACTAAAACGCAGTTACCACTTAGTTTTAAAAGTCAATGAATTTCACTAGATGAAATACAAGTCCATAAAGCTTTATGGCTTTTACAATCCATTTTGGTGTCTACCTGCAGTTGATTCTTGGCACTTGTCAAATGACCACCGTACTTCCACAGCACGGCCCCTTTGTTTTATCTGTTGTTCTACTTCAAAAATCTTTGCACGAACCTGTAAAGAAAGCAACCATTACAGAATATAAGACATAATGTACTACATAACGTGCTACCTTTGCCAAAGCATTTATTTGAAAAATAAATAAGTATAGATAAACCACAGGAAAACAGGAAAGCAACATACTCATGTAAGTTACAACAAAATAGCCTTTTGAACTGAAAGTCCTTAACATTCATCTTCCTGAAAGTTTTAATCAAATTCATTAGCATTTGAAAAATAAGACACTATTTTTTAACCAATCATTACTCCTCTACTGTAAAGCAACGAAAGAAATCTATTTTCAACAGTTCAGGGAAAGAACGTATTCCTCAAATTCTGCTCAGAATTATCGACAGGATACTATTTGTGAAGACAGAGCAGGACTAATCATCTCAATATTCCATAGAACTGCTCAATTTTTAAATCTTTTGAAATATACAGTATAGTGCAATTATTGTAATATTGCTGAAAATAGCATAAAATAAAAATCAAAACACAATGACTTGAAAGGCTGCATATTTTTCAGATATTTGAATACGAATATTATTCATTGATTACATTTACTGTATATTCTGCCTATTCTCTAGGAGTTCAAGGAAATGTATATGATATCTATTCATTTACCCTCAAAATAGCCATCTTTTGTGGTAGGCTAAGTTGTACTATGAGCTCTAAATGTTTGTATCAGTGTAACTAATTATTAATACACAACTAACTATCAATGTGAACCCAGTGAAATAGTAAATGTTTTCAGCTTTGAGCGGGTAACCCAAGTTTATATCCTCACTCAGACAAGAAGGTTGCTGAGGCCTTTGGTTCAGTGACTCATTCAGCTGAAGTTTACCTCAAACAATTCGTGTTAAGAAGATAAATTAGGGGAGACCCTCATGTAAGTCACTTACATTGGCTAATTGACATGCCTTCTTCATAGTCTGCTGCAAAACTATGTTAATAATTCTTTTAATGCTTTTTTCTATTTGAAAAAGAACAAGTTAAATGTTAAACTTATTTTTAAAAAACAGCTAAAATGGTGCCAGCAGAAAAAAAATTGGTAAGGTACTGGTGTCTAGCATATCATTCAATTCTTCAGTCTCCATAAAAACTATTATAACAAGAGTTTGATGATGGTGGTGATGATGTCATGGAGCTACTTTATTAAAATTGAATGAGCAAAAGTCTTTATTGCAGAAAAAGCTTTAGGATATTTTAGGATTAAGCTACTGCCTTAATTTAAAAAAAACATGGAAGGTGATATCTTCAAACATTTTGACATTCACTTTAATGGGGAATACAACTGCACTGATATTAAAGATGCTTACTATCTCTTATAAATGGTTCAGCTTATGTGCATTATTTATTATTTTACTTAAATTTATACAACTCTTGTCAATATTGGAAAGAGTAAAGAACTGGTATGGAACATTGAACCGTATGACCAATCAAAGCCATTCCACTGCATTTGAGATTCAAGATGTATGCACAACATTGGTGAAATGGTATTATCACAGCCATGAGAATTAAACATGTTTATATGGTGTATTCTTTTATATAAATATTCCAACATTCTAAGTTCATTTTAACACTTTTATTACACTCTTTTTTCTACCTTTCTATATTCCCATGAAGAAAACTGTTACCCCCCCCCTTCCTATATAAATATATGGACTCTTCAATGAAGAAGCAGGGAAAGGTGATACATGATTGGAGATATGGCCATTACTTATGTAAAGCCAATCATTAAAAGACATAATTATTAAATTTTTCAGCAAAGCAGATTGTTCACATTTTGAAATACAAGTAAAAACTACCTGCTGGTTGAATACAGAATTTCCTCCTGGCATTGGTAAGCTAGATGGAGAAACTTGAAGTAAATCCAAAGGTGAGCCAGGATTTATGGTTTTACTTTCATTTGTAGAATAATTCCAGACCAAGGCACTTGGGCAACAGAGAGTTATAGTCTGAAGTAGAAAACAGAGAAACTTAAATCATGTCATTAGATTATTCAATTTTACAGAAACCAACAAAGAAACTCTTGGTAAAAAAGAATGTAACATACTACAGTTCAAAATACAAAAGCTCAAAAGCTACTTTTAAAAGTTAAACATTTGCTGCTCTGAATAAGAGATTCTCATACTGAAGCAAATCATCAGATTGGATTAAAAATTAGAATTAAAGATTAAAAAGAACACCACTGTTTCTCCCCCTCCTACCAAAAAAACACCACCACAGAGCTTCTACTTGTTTTTCTCCACCACTTTTACTACAGACTTTGGTGGAGTAAATGAACAACAAACAAAAGCAGATGCTTAGTATTATTATCTTCATGTTGTTCTTGTTAGTTGCAAAGTCGTATCCGACCCATCGTGACCCCATGGACAACATTCCTCCAGGCCTTCCTGTCCTCTACCATGGTCTGGAGTCCATTTAAGATTATCTTCATACTACATTACAAAAAGTCACCATGAATGAGCATAACCCTAAACCTTTTACTCTAATTTTCTAGCTATGTGATTATTTTATAAATTAAGAAAAGAATTGCCTTGCTAGAAAATAAGGAATAATTGCCAAGTATTTCTCAGGAAAAATACTATTTTAATTCCAATCTCTTCCTGATTAAAGCTTAACTGAGATATTTTAAATGGAGAGAGAGAGAGAGAGAGGAGGAGGAGGAGGAGGAGGAGGAGGAGGAGAAAGAGAAAGAGAAAGAGAAAGAGAAAGAGAAAGAGAAAGAGAAAGAGAAAGAGAAATGTTATTCAACTATGAAATATAGCCAATGAACGTTATTTCAGAATTTCCTCTCTAGCATGCACTTACCTGCAGCATACAGCTTAGGCCATAAACAAGAGGGCGGTGTTGGGGGCAGGAAAGAAATTCTGAACAGGCAAGCTGAGCAGGATTGACTACAGTACCAGTTGTAGAAGAGCTGGGAGCTGCCAGAGGAGGATTATTTGGTCCAATAATAATATGAGGTGAGTGGGCAGCTATGAGGTTAGTATTGTCACTTATCAACAAAGAGACATGTCTGGCACAGAAATAAGCAAGGCGACGCGACAGGTAGGCTGACTGAACAAACTCTTCAGAATACTGAAAGATATTATTTTTAAAAAAATCATCATCAGATCATTCATTTTAAATGTACATCAGAATTCCCCACCCAGTTGTTGCTACTTTCTTTAGCATTCCCAAACATCCCAAGCCAAGCCTTAAGTCCTTCCAAGGACTTCCAGTCTCTCACACTAGGAAGTGTTTGGTGTATCGAGTCTGCCAGATCTTTTTTTCAACTACCACTTTTCAAACTCATCTCTCCTAAATCAGAGTTGGCAGACAGCAGCCACAGGACCTCCATTACCTTTTATGTGATTTTCTAGGCCCATCTCTGTCCCAGACCCTTCCCACCATGGTCAAGCTCTGTGTTTTCCATTTTGTCTTGTTTAGGGGGGGTGGAAATCTGGTGAATGCTAAGGGATATATGGAAACCTTAAGCCTCAGGGATAAAAAAAAAAAGCAATATACTGACAGAATCAGTAGTATGGTATGTAAACAAAAATCAAAGTGTGAGTTCTAAAATAAACTTTTAAAATGTTAAATAGTATAAAATCAGGACTGGAATCTTCTCAGTCACTATTATGAGTTTCAGTATAAGAATATGTAAGCAATAGGCCAAATCTTACCAGATTTTTTTTAAAAAACATCGCAAGATTTCAGCATTCTTGCCTGAAATCTCACAAGATCTATTGATGATGTAGCAATCCTGGGCTGTATAAACAGACGCATAGAATTACACAAAGTATTAGTACCACTTTATAAAACCCTAGTAAGACCACACCTGGAATACTGCAACCATTTTTGGTCACCATACTACAAAAAAGCTGTTGAGACTTTAGAAAAAGTTCAGAGAAGAGCAACTAAAATGATCAAAGGCCTGGAGACTAAAACATATGAAGAATGGATGCAGGATTTCAGTTTGGCTAGTCTAAAGAAAAGGGGTGTATGCATGTCACAGGGGTGACATGATAGCAGTATTCCAAAATTTGAGGGGCAGCCACAAAGAAGGGGTCAAATTATTCTCCAAAGCACCAGAGGGCAGGACAAAAAACAATGGTTGGAAACTGACCAAAGAGGAGACTAGAGAGTCATTTTTCTGAAATGGTATAGATTCTCCTGCTTGAGCAGGGAGCTGGACTAGAAGACCTCCAAGGTCCCTTCCAGCTCTATTCTATTCTATTCTATTCTATTCTATTCTATTCTATTCTATATGTCAAGCCCTAGTAGATGTATGAATTGAAAGTAAATTTTTGCAGGCGTGAATTTGACTGAGTTCTCTTTACCAAGACTTACTAAGGTGAAAGTTAGTACTGATGCAACAACTCCAGAAGTTGAATTACCTTTAATTTTAGAATCAACATATTTCCATGTATTAGGAATCTGAGACCTGAGTCTTTCTTTCATAGCCTTAAAACTATTAACTACAGAGGAGAGGCAGATATTTTAGCTGACAGACTGAAAGTTGGCAGTTATTCTTTATATGTGCTATTTGATTTCTTATCTGACAATGAAACCTATACAACTATAAACAAGATAAACTTCGTTTAACATACTGAATTCTGAAAATATCACCTGATTGAGCATTTTGAGACTGTGGCAAATTATATTATCCTTTGTACCTGCAGCATTAGTGGGAGGAGGAGTTTTAAAAGTTCATCATCAGCTGGTCTTATTTTTTCCAAGACATCCAGGATCCACGTTAAATATTCATGTCTTTCAAGCATTCCTTCCTTAATGAATTTTAGAAATATATGTAAAGAAATTCCCAAATCCAAAAGAAAACAAGAATATCACTGCTTCATTGCTTAAGATGTCAGTTAAGAATAAATGCCACAAAATTTAATGTCACAAAACTGACATATAAACATTTGAACATTTTAGATAAATTACAAAACATTTTTAAAATTTAAAATTAATAGTTTAAAAGTTGCATACCAGTAACCTAAAGATGTGAAATGACTGCATAGGATCATTATCATCCTCCAGTATCAACTGAATTCTTCCTGTGATGGTGCTAATGAAACCAAAAACTTACCATTCACAAACAAGAATCAGAAGAGCAAGCCAGTAGATTTACTTCAGTGAAATGCAATGCTCAGAGATCAGCATTAACCAAAACAACACCCAACTGGGTGGGAGAATGAATGAAGCTGAGCGATTGAACAAGGAAGAAAATAGAAAAGGCAGAGTTTTTTGTTTAAGAGGGGAATGCTCTTGTAGTCTGATTTTTCATTTCTTATTTACACTGAAAAATCATTTTATGCACTTACTGATATAAGTGTAGCTAAATATGGAGTGGCTATATTAAATGGGCACAGAATGCTTTCTCTTCTGAGAGAAGGCAGAAACAAGGTAGGGAGAAGAAATGGACTAAATGTTTGAAAGTCTGAATAGACGTCTTCTACAATTTGTTATGTAGAACTACCAGCTGTAGTATATTTTAACTGTTCTCTCCTTGGCAAAGACTAAGTGTGTACCCAAAATGTGGTAAATATGTGCTAAACAAGCTCTATACTTCCCTTTTCTGGGGAAGAATATGAAAGGATGGAATTTTTGGATAATCCTACAGAGGTACATCTTTCTCCAAGTGTACAAGGTTTATTTATTCTGCAACGAGTATAGTTTTCTTTTTCATTAAAGATGCACAGTCTTGGCATTTCTGATGTTTTTAATATCATTACGTATCAATTAACACCATTTATCCTCACTTAACAACTCTAATTGGGACCAGAATTTCTACCACTAAGCAATGCAGTTCTTAAATGAAACATCATGTGACCACGCTGCTTAGTGAAAGCAGTTTTGGTGGTCCCAGTTGCAGTTGTTACAGGACCTCATGCTTCTCCTGTCCTGCTATGCTTGTTTCCACTTAAATTCCCAATCTACCCACACCCAACTCTGCCTTTTGACTATACTGCACTCCATTGCCCCTGCACCTCTGCCATCCCAGCTGTCTTCACCATCTTCCTTCTCCTGCTGCTAAGTTGTGCCTAGCCAGGCCTTTCAGTGAGCAGCAAGAGAGTACAGAGTGGTGAGGGTGCAGGATGGAGTGCAGGGTCATAGAGATGGCAGAAGCCAGTGGCAGGGGAAACAGAGTGCAGGGCAGCCAACTGAGCAGAGATGGGAGGGAGTTAAGTGGGTAGAAGTTGAAGCACACATTGTGATTGTAAATGCAGGTGGTCTGCCAAGCATCTGAATTCTAATCAACTGACCATGAGATCATTGCAATGGCTATAACTCTGAGGACAAGTGATCAATATCATAAGTTTCAACAGTCACTGAATGAATGGCCATAAAGTGAGGACTGATTAAAACAGTAAATTCATATTTCTTTTGCAATTGTTTAATTTTGAATCATCTGACTAATAAGTCTTCATCGAATACGTTTAACACACGTGTTTTTCACTATAATCTGACATTCCTTATAGCTGCTCACATAAATATATATGCAGATATAAATAATTCGTGGTCAGGGCAATGATTCTGATCATTGCATGAGATGATGAATGACATATGGCAAATGCAAATCAGTAATGTTGCTATTGCTACTATTGTTATTTAGCATTACTTTAAATTCTACATTTCTTCATTCTGGATATTTCAAATGGTAACAGCAAAAGAACTATTTAGCTAGAAATAAGACTGGCTTTAATTACTAGTATTTAACATTTTTAATATAGTCAGACACTAAACACATTATGAGCAAGGAGACTGAAAACAAACTAGAATCACATTGTACTGCTTTATAGAACTTCATCCTGCTTCGTTATAAATAAAGGTTACCTGGAACATATAAAATGCCAACTTTTCATTATATTCCCACTGCTTCAAAGCTTGTTCCACTTCACGAGGCACAACTACGGAATTTTTGCCTTGGCTTGTGGTCGTGTGATAAAATTCTGCAATTTTTACCAATTGTTCTCTTAGGTACCTGGTAGAGATTTGAGTCCATTCTATAGAGACACAAATTAAGTAATCATTGATATTCATTTTTCTTCAATGACAAAACTGAACCAAAAAAATCATCACAATTTAATTTACACTCAAGTGACCTGTCACAAACCCATAATCTTCAAAACAGTGATCAGTAGGAGATCTACCAGAATTCAGTTTGAATGACTTTTAGCATGACAGTCTCTTTACTGCAGTGATTTCAAAGAATGCAAGCTAGTACTAAAGTTTGCTAAAGGAAGTTTATTCTGCAAATGTCTTGTTTTCGTGGATCACATTTATGTTTTTTGAGCAAGAAGAAATGAATTGCACTTTGATACGAATCAGGTTTGATAATTCATGTGAGAATAAAAATTGTTCTTCAAGCATTTCCATGTAAGTATCCAGTCATCAACTGAAAATAATTTGCATCACTTTGGGAAATTAAATCCAAAATTGATTATGCGCTTTACATAAAGAGACTCTTAATGCAAAATAAGTGACTACCTTTGAAATTAATATTAGTTCTTCTCTCACTCTGGAGGAGTCCTCATCTGATTCTAACACAAACCATACAGACTTCAGAGCAGGATTATCTTTTGCAATATTTCAACAGTTGAGCCCAAGGAGAGATTCTAAGCCCTCACAAGAGCAGATGCCTCAAAAACTACCGCCAAAGGATCAAAAAGTGAGAAATTGTTCAATTACAGGGAACATGTATCTATCTCCCTCACACACAGATCTGCTTAGGAACCAGTCTTTGCTCCTGAACACAGAATAGACCTGAAGGCTGGAGCTTTAAGGCATACAACGCTGAAACAAATTTCATTTTGCACTTGGAAACATGATTCTGAATATCTTCATTTATGATCCATTAGGCTGCTGAACTGTGACACCTGGCTGCCCATTGCTTAGAAATGTACCCCTGGATTTTCTTAGGTTTCTATAGCTATTCACTTTTCACCATCTTGTGGCTATTATCTGAGCTACAAAACTCCAAATAGCCATTGAGTGGCAACAAGAAGACCCAGATTATCTGTTATTTGCAATCCAGATCATTTTACTGGATTCAAATTATACATTTGAGAGCAACTCAGTTTACAGTTTTCAGAAAAGGACAGCAACACAACTTTGAGCAGCGTATTATTTTAAGATTCTATTTCAGTGTTAACACTGCGTATTTTGATTGCTTAAACCCCAGTGATATGAACTCAGGTGACAAGAGATGTGGAATAATCCATTTTAATATTCAAGATAACATCCATTTCAACAAAACAACTTCAATTCTCCTTCTCCTCCTTATCTGCATGTCTTTCTTACTGTATTTCTCAAATCAGCTTCCACCTACACATCATGTACTATAAAAGGAGAATGCAGCTCAGGAATGTTGAATCTTTTCCAAAATGCAGTTTTAATCCCCAAACATATTTTAAACCAGAGGTACTCCTTTTATCTAATACAGGGTTTTTCAACCAGTGGTACGGGTACCACCTGTGGTACATTGGCACCTGGCAGGTGGTACGCGACCATCCTAGAAAAGTGGTAGCGGGGGAGGGGAATGAGAGTGATGCCAGGCGGGAAGGTAGGTGTCTTGCTTGGCTGTGCCTTAGGGGACACTTTTTTCAGTGCCATTGTAACTTCGAACAGTCATTAAGTGAACTGTTGTAAGTCGAGGACTACCTGTACTTTATCACTTTTTTCCTTCTTTTTTTTTTGGTCAGGTTTTTGACACCTTGCTAGGCGACTGGTGGTACTCGAATATTGCCATATCCTAAAAGTGGTACAATGGGTGAAAAGGTTGAAAAGCCCTGATCTAATACATAACATGTAGTTACATTTAAATATACCATTTTAATTTCATTCCGTAGAATTTAAAGCTAGATGTTATTCACTAAAATACATGATAGCTGAGCTGAAGATTTCTACAGGGTCAAATGCTTCAGAAATGACCTTTACAAAGTTTATTTTTCAGCTATTTTGACACAGCTTTTATTAGCTGAAGGTCATACATCTATGTGGTATATTGAGAGGGATGTATTCCTCAAACCCATGGGTAGAGTCAAAACAAATCACAAAATTTGTTTCATTTGCATAATTTAAGTGAAATGAAATATGCTTAAGATATTTGTCTCTGGATATATAGTTACTGATTTTCCCCTTCTGTAACATGAAAAGTTGCAATTTGGAATAATCTTTTAGTGCTTCTTGATTACCTGCAACACTTTGGGAAATGTTGATTATGTCTTGGTGACTAAATTGCTTCTATATCCTACAAGCCCAAAATTCACTTTTTTTCCAGCCTACATTTTCCATAAAAATGATATGTAAAAATGATAAGTTTCACATTTCCATTTCTTTAGAGATACAATGATATATATTTTTTATTCTTTCAAGAGATACTAGAGAAATAAACTAAGAGAATCATTTCAATAGATAGCAGATATTTCAGAATGGAATCCTCCATCACTATCACAGATTTATGCAGTGCTGTATTAATGTTACAGACAGAACATGCCAAAGGGAAAATATTCAAATCAAACTGTCAACATATCATCTTTACAGCAAAACTCTATTTCCTGCTGATTACTGAGTGAGCCTTTCTATTTTCATAATCCATGCCTCTGAGATGCTCACTGAGATCAACATATTACAGAGCAGATATGAAACAGTCCTAGATATAAAATGATGCCTCTGGGCATTCAAGAAAATAAATTAGTCTTATTACATCTATAGATCAGTCAATAAAGTATCTCTGAAATTTAATGTGACAGCTATCAAAAAAACTAGAATTCATTTCATTTGCTATATCAATAAACATGCCACAGTACGTTGTATTCTGGCATTTTACTTAGTGCTGTAAGTACCAGATTTATTTACCTCACCAAAAATATCACCTGAAGTCAAGGTCACCAAATAGAGACTGTCATACTTTGGTCATGTCATGAGAGCTGCCTCACTTGAAAATCATGCTGGAAAAAAGGAGAAGGGGCCACTGGCTGGACACTATAAAAGATGACACTGAGATGACCATGGCAGATCTGAAGGAGTCGGTATGAGACAGAGGGGCATGGAGAGTGCTGATCCATAGAGTGGCCAAGGACCGGCCATGACTGAAAGGCTGACAATGACAACAAAATAAGTACTAGAAGATTCTCTGGTTTAGTTAACAAAACTTAAGGCACAATTTGGCTTCTTTTCAGCTTAGTATGATGGATATCATAACATTACATGCCAAAGGGAACACTGTAGCTTTTTCAACAACCCATGATTTAAATATCTTGGTTTAGCATAAATAAGTTTTCTTACAGCAGCAAAGCTACCCACTTCATCAGAAACAAGGAATACGTTACATTATTCTTCTCCAGATGTTTTAGGACAGTGGTGGCGAACCTATGGCACAGGTGCCAGAGGCGGCACTCAGAGCCCTCTCTGTGGGCACGTGCACCGTTGCCCCAGTCCTAGGCCTTCAGCTGGGTTTTATAAAACCTTTTTGCTTTAGGCCTCTGCTGCCGTGTGCAAAAAAAAAGGTTCAATCAGTCAATTTCAACTTCTCGCGGAAAAAAAAGATCTTGCAAAGTTGAAATTGATTGAACTTTTTAGTCCCACCCAGTCTGCCGTTACCACTGCAGCTACGCCCATCCAATTGGCCATGCCCACCCAATTGGCCACACCCAGCCAATGGGGCCACACCCACCCGGCACTCGACGATGCATAAGTGGGTTTTGGGTTGCGGTTTGGGCACTCAGTCTCTAAAAGGTTCGCCATCACTGTTTTAGGAGCTATAGTTCAACACCTCTGGAGAGCACGAGGTTGAAAAACTATTTTACACATAAGAGGTCATATTTTGCAAGCCAATTATATTTGCTTGGAGACACCAACAAAAAAGTATGAAGACAAAAGTCTATAATATAAAAGCATTTGAAAATAATTATTGATGCCACATTAACAGTTAAGTAAGGAAAACTCTATCTATATGCATGTTTGTTATGAAATTCAACTAAGCACCACTTAATGAATGAATGCACAAATAAAACAGAATAGGTTAGTATGCAAGAATGAATCTACTTTGTGGAAAAATAAAGGTATAAATATCTTTAAAGTAACAGCAACAATCAGAATATTTTTTTAAAAAGCTAAATGCCAGTATGATGTATTTCTTTTGTGGGGTTTGGATTATGCATTTTTTACTTTAAGCTTTCCAAATTACTCTTAAAAAGGAAAAGTGCTTTGCATAAGAAGTTAAAGAATTTTACTGTGAGGTGAGCTCTCAAGGTTAGAAGGGGAAAAGCTAATGAAAACAAGTCCCTTGAATGATGTTGGCAGAATATCATTCTTCAGAAACCACATTTAAACAAATGGGGAAAAATCTGAATATAAGTTGACTAAAAATACAAGTTTTCAAGTGAAAAGGTATAAAAAGATATGGAGAGATACGTATAATGTAAACTCGCCATAGCTGTATTTCCTTCCATTTTTTTACCCCATTCCCTTAAATTATTTGATTTATTTTTTACTGCTTTTCTTGATTCCAAATAATGTTTACCCCAAAGGAAGTAGCATGATAGGGATGTATTATCTACAAATATCAATATTTTAAATAAAAGGAGTTATCCATTTGGGAAATTGAATATGCAGTTACTAAATTTCTAGTTAAATAATGGTAACTACCATTCTTGAAAACACGGTATTAATGATGTACATACTGTAAAAACCAAAAGTCATTCATAGATACAGCCTATTTGTCTATCGTTTAGAACAGGAAGAAAGCAATTATATTTTCTCTGTAGGTCATTAATCATGCTTCTGCTTTAATTCTGCTCTTGTACTAAAAATTCAAATATATTTTCATTGATCAATAATGAGAACCTAAAGGAAACGGAAGCTTGTTTTTGTCATTTTCTGATACAAGCTTATGATTCTTGGTTTTTTGAACTGCACTGACACCTACTGTAGTTTATGAAGCATACAGGATAAAGTGAAGCTTATCAACGTATACCCTCCATACAATAGTGCAACCACACAACAGTGCAAAAATGTACATTAATGATGAAAAGATATTTCATTCAGCTTTTATTACCAAGATTTGGATCAGCTGCCTGGCGTTTCTTAATTTTAGCTTCAGAGATGGCTGAGTAGTAGGCACAAGTCATTTTTATCAACCATGCTGCTCGCAAGAGTGGCACAGAATATCTTGCTAAATAAGCAAAAACATCTTCCTTTTTGCTGAGAATTGGGACCTATGTTTGAAAAAGAAGAGGAATAATTTTTAAAAATGGTTACAATACTCTAAACCTGTTAGATGACAAATTGTAAAATTTTATTCAACTACAGAGATCAAGGAATAACTAAATGATATGTAGAAAAAAATAATGACAGTAATTTGAGAAAGTAAAAGTTAGTGACTACTGGTACCAGATTAGTCAAATTTTTGCTCTTTGGTATGCCAAAAATAATTTATAGGTTCAAATAATATAGAGTTAACTTGGATCAAATGAAATTGTCTATTATTCCCATTAAAACCTGCTTGATTTTAAATTCGTGAGCTTAAAACACACTTGCTGCAAAATCAATATTTTATTCATTGATCAAACGTATTTCCCCATTTTTTTTCAAATAATATTGAATAGCCATAATAGTTATAATATACTGCTTCTGAAAAATGTTTGAGGCAAAATACGGTAAACTTACATATTATGTCACATTGACTATTCTTACATCTAAACGTAATTAACAGCTCCCATCAATGCCAATCCTTAAAATGTCATGTTTCTTAAAGATGCAAGCTCAAAAGTGTTGCATCTAAGCTCTGTGAAAAAGAGATCAGTTCCACTAATGCAGACTTGGTAAACACTCCTAAGTGAAATCTAGGCTTGATCTTAACAATATCTAAACATTGTTAACAAGAAATAGATTTTATCAGGTTTCATGAAATATTGAAAAGTCAGCTTCCTCCACTCTTGTGTTTAGGACTCCTGTTATTTTCAAAAACTCCCTTTTTAGTTTACACACAGTATGTTTACTTTAGTCTGAAACAATACAAACAAGTCAGCACCTAAAGTTGTGGATTCTTAGTGAAAGACAAATTCTAACATAACTTTCTCAGAGTTAGCAACAAGAGGTTTCATGCAGCTATACATTTTTATGAGTTTTTACTCTTTTTATTATCTCGGAGGACTCATGCAAGCTTCAATATCTGTTTGTGCAATATATCATGGTTACTTACAACTCATTGGAGGATGAGGTGTCATTTTTTTCCACTGCATTTCAGTGCAGACAATAAAAGGGTCATAGCAGTTATTGTTGCTATTATGTACAAGCCAATCATAACTGTGAAAATCCAGAAGTCTGCTCTAATACATATCTATGGCCACCCAGGGGCTACATCTGTCTACAGCTAGCACAGAGTCAAAACTCGATTCCTTGGCCACTTGTTGCCAGCATTTGTAGCATTAGCCAGATAATGTACTCATTTATTAGTCATTCTCTCGTGCTCCAGCTCCCTTAGTCACCTTGACCAGTGACTAAACTTAGCATTTTAAGCATCTGCCCAAACTGACACTACTCTGCACTATCTCACATGAGCAAAAATGATTGGTGGTTGTTCTTCCACCAAACAAGGGAAATCAAGGAGAAAAATCCACCAATCCCTTTCCTTAAATCTCTTGCAAGAAGTAATTAAGGTATCATTCACCAGCCTCATTACTGCGGCACAATAGTGATAGGAACAAAATTGTTCTGTCCACCAAGAGGTTCGTAAGTAATACATTGCACAAACAGCTGTAGAAACTTGCATGAGTCCTCAGAAATCATTTATGTTGCCATCATTTTCAGTTGGCTCAGCATCAGCTCAGACATAAGAAGACACCAGAAAAAAATTGAGAAAAGGAAATGAAAAAGGCAATAGAGATTTTCAGAGGTAAAAACTAGAACAAGAACTCTTGTAATTTCCTTTCCCAAATAGCTTTCCCAAATAGCTAAGAAACCTTCAAAGTAGCAATAGCAATAGCACTTAGACTTATATACCGCTTCACAGTGTTTTACAGCCCTCACTAAGCGGTTTACAGAATCAACACATAGTCCCCAACAATCTGGGTCCTCAGTTTACGGACCTCAGAAGGATGGAAGGCTGAGTCAACCTTGAGCCAGTGAGAATCGAACTGATGAATTGCTGGCAGCCGGCAGCCAGCAGAAGTAGCCTGCAGTACTGCATTCTAACCACTGCGCCACCATGGCTTACCTTTTTTGCTAGGAAAGTCAGAGGTTTATTTCCTGCCAAATCTGCAAACCAAGTATGAATTGCACTCTGGGAACGAGCAGTAACTAGCCAGTAATTGTCTTTAGCGTTTATTTGCAATTTCTTCTTTCCTGTATCCTGGAATGTATTAAGTTTTAACTTTTCTGCCAATATGCTGCTAAAATAAGCACCAATCTGATAAGGAAAAAAACAGAAACATAATAAGCATTTTCTAAAACTTAAAATATATACAATAAGTATTATCTTCATAAGATTAGCATCTAAATTCTCTATTGTAGTCATCAGAAATTTGATAATCTAAATAACTACAATGGTCTCCCATTATCTTTCAGGTATAGATATTATGGATATAAAAGTTATTGACTCTGAATATTAAAGTATTTCTTAAGCTATAATAAAAATAAACTTTATTATTAAAGGGTATTTGCAGTTAAAGAACCTGTCCAGAAAAGGCAAATGTTAAATTTGAAGCCTATGACATTTTCTTTTTTCACACTTTAATTAAAAATCTTTTGTAAAAGTAGATACTTGATCAGTATATCGAGGGCTCATATCAGAGAAATGAAGCCTAATCAATATATCCAGATGTTTCGATTCAAACTGAAGGCACTCACAGCATTAGGAAATCAACATTTTTGACCCTGCATGCATTCACCTATGTGTCTATAACTTTCAAGTTACACAGATTTTCTGTCTAAAAAATAAAAAAATGAAGACACACATTACCAAATCAATAAAGGTATTGTAAAATAGCATACAAAATTAGAAATTCTTTAGAGGAAGCACTTTTTAGTTGCAAAAAGCACTTACCTTTGATGGGTTAATAACAATATTTCTAGCAGACCCATGTTCATCTCCTGAGAAAGCTGGCTGATTACTGAAACCTTGTTTTACGTTCACAGCATTTAGCTCATCCTGCAAATAAAGTATAATGTTAACTTAGTTTTGCAGCAGTTCCAAATTTTAGTGAGATCAGATTCTCACTAAGGAATTAAAACTTCTGTTGTGCTATGTATAAGATATAATTTCACGCTTTCTTTGCAAATGCAAATCTGTTTATGAATTTTTGTTATAAATATTTCATACACAATTCTCTTATATTATCTAAAAATAATTAAAATTTGACAGTTATCAAAGTCATCTAAATACTTTAAAAAAAATCTAGACCATTTCACACATTAATGATACAATCTCTGGGTTCTTAAACATATAGGTAATCATTTCTTCCACTTCTACTACTTCTTGTTTTATCCTAAAGTAATACCAGGGAAAAGCCAGTTAATGTAGCAATTAGGGCATCAGGCTAGAAACTTAGTGAACAATGAGGTCTTAGTCACACTTTAGACATGAAGCTGGCTGGGTGAACTTGGGCCAATCATTTTGTCTCAGTCCTAGGAAGGAAGCAATGACAAACCACTTCTGAAAAAAACTCGCAAAGACAAATGCAGGCAGTCTCCAAGAACTGAACATGATTGAATAGAAGAAAAAAATAATCAAAGATCTTATCTAGATTGGCACTTAGGAATGAGACAATTTATGCGGTTATATTTGAATATTTTGGTTTACTCTGTTATTGTTTCAGTTAGTTCATTCATCTGTTTCAGTCAGCATTTTAAATTACAGAAACAAATCATTAGACAACCTAGGGTGCAATTGGTTGTGGTCATGATTCAGGTGACACTGAGGGCACAGGTAATCCCCCAAGTGGTCTCAACAGCTCTTAGAAAGAGTGCTAATGACCAGATGACTGCAAAGAAATACTATCTTTCCATTCCCCCCCTCCCACGACCATTCTATCAGACACTATCCTTCCCTCCCCCCACCATCAGAATTGATGAAGCTTCTTGGGTGAGAAGGGAAACATTTTCTCCTTCCTCCTCAAAGAAGGGGCGTTGTCTTACCTGAACGCCTTTTCTCAGCATGATGATGGAATCCACACTCGTGGATTCATGCTGAAGAAAAAACAGTCCAGTTGCCTTTTGAGAAAAAAAAACAATAACCCACCTTTGAGACAACTATGACCTGGATGACTAAGAATTTCCACAGAGGTTTAGATTTCTAGTTTTAGTTAATTTAGTTAAAACTAAAACTAGCCTTAACACAGTGTGATATTATGTTTCATTCTCATAAAATTCAACAACAAAAAAGCTCTGGACTTCAACAGAGATCTAAATTTCAAATCCTGGTCATTAGTTTTGAAGCTAACTCATTTCAACAGTGAAGATTCACCAGCCTTCTGTTTAAACCAGTGGTTCTCAACCTTTTTAATGCTGCGACCCCCAACCAGTCGTAAGTCGAGGACTAAACCAGTCGTAAGTCAAGGACTACCCAACCGGTCGTAAGTTGAGGACTTTCCCTGCCCGGGAGCGCCGCACATGCGTGGTTCCGCCCCCTGCGCCGGCCGAGGCGTAGCTGGCAAGCGGCAGAGACGGAGCAGGCCGACCACCAGCTGGCCCAGCTCAAGGGAGGTAAGGCACCCGCCGGAAAAGGGGAAAATAATGGCGGACAGCCTTGTTTGGCGACCCCCGTGAAATGGTCGATCGACCCCAAATGGGGTCGCGACCGACCCATAGGTTGAGAACCGCTGGTTTAAACAATAGCACAGCTGTACAGATGAAACTGTGATCCATTGTAACCCATCTGAACTTCTAATTAAAAGATGCAGACATAATGTTGAAGATATCCTTATATATCCTTCTTATACCATATCCATCAGTGGTACAAGACCTCCTCCTTCCCTATGCATAAGCTTGCAAAAGCCTAACAGAGATCACGTGCAAATAAAGTGAAAACTATATAACCGTGTCACAGCTTAGCATTTAAAATATTTCTGCCACATCATCTTCGAGACCGCCTCCTGCCACAGACTACCCCCCACCGACCTGTACGCTCTCACAGAGTGGGTCTCCTCAGGGTGCCGTCAGCCAGACAGTGCCGGCTGGCGACCCCAAGGGGGAGGGCCTTCTCTGTGGGAGCTCCCACCCTCTGGAACGAACTGCCCCCAGAGATCAGGGTGAT